CCGCCCCGCAGGGCAGATGTCGGGCGCCCACACCCGCCTGGAGTTCCACAACATCGAGACGGGCATCGTGACGGAGCGGCGGTTCCTGGCCGTGGTGCCCTCCAACTTCTTGGGCCACTTGAGCGGGCTCCTCTTCAACGGGCTGCCCTACCTGGACCTCTGCAAGAACGGGGACATCAGCTCCTGCGAGCTCAACGCCCGCTTCGGCCGACGGACCATCGTGGCCGACCCGGTGGCCTTCCGGGGCCGCGGCTCCTACGTGGCGCTGGCCACGCTGCAGGCCTACGCCTCCATGCACCTCTTCTTCCAGTTCAAGACCACGGCGCCCGACGGCCTCATCCTCTTCAACAGCGGCAACGGCAACGACTTCCTCGTCGTCGAGCTCGTTAAGGGGTGAGGGCGCAGCCCCTGGGGAGGGGGGGGGTCCTGCGGACCTCGGGGACCCCCTCGGGGCCTCGGGGGGTCCTGTGGATCTCGGGGACCCCCCCAGGCCCCCGGGGACCCCGGAACCCCCCCCCCCGAGGGACTTCGGGGACCCCCCACCCCGTGGTGCCCACCGAGCCTTAGGCCCTGCCCCGCTGCACCAGTCCCCGCCCCCTACTGCCGAGGCCCCGCCCAACTGTCTCAGGCTCCTCCCCTTGGGTGAGACCCCTCCCCCTTGGCTCGGGCTCCTCCCCGATTAGACCACACCCCCAGCTCAGGCCACGCCTCCTGGCTGCAGGTGCATCCCTTATGCGGATGACTTGGGGGGGCAGCCCCCTTAGCTCAGGCCCCTCCCCTTTTGCCAGGCTCCACCCCGGCCTTGACCACGCCCCCTGGCCACAAGTACATCCGCTGCGTTTGCCCTGGAGGCGGTGGCCCCTTTGGCTCAGGCTCCTCCCCTTGTGTTCAGGCTCCTCCCCCTGCCTCAGGCCACGCCCCCCGTCCCTAGGTGCCTGCGCTATATGTTTGCCCTTGGGGTGGGGTGGCCCCCTCGGCTCATGCCCCGCCCCTAAACCCGGGACACGCCCCCGGCGGGGGCCACGCCCCCTAGCCCCAGGTGCCCGCCTTATGTCTTCGAGCTGGGGGTGCCCCCCCGGCTCGGGCCCCGCCCCCTGCCCCCCACTCCCACCCCCCAGGTACATCCACTACGTCTTCGACCTGGGCGACGGCCCCTCGCTGATGAAGGGGAACTCGGAGCAGCCGCTGCACGACGGGCGCTGGCACGAGGTGTCGGTGGCCCGGGAGGGGGGGACCCTGCACGGGCTGCGGGTGGACGGGCGCCCCGTCACCCAGCACGGCCAGGGCGCCCGCAACCTCGACCTCAAGGGTGAGCAGGGGGGCGGCGGCGGGGAGGCACCCGTGGCGGGCGTCATCACCCGTAGGGATGCACGCGTGGCGGGGTACCCCGCGGCGGGCTGCCCACGGGGGGGGTCACCCGGGGGGGACAGCCCCCCCCCCCCCCCCCC